GGACCTCACTTGGTTCATCGGTTCGTGTGAGCCAGGCATCTCGACGACATTGTCGATGACGTCGTTGGCGTGGCGCAGTGTCATCGCACCGAGGTACGCCGCAATCCTCACCTCATCCGGCGCACTGATTGCTCGTAGACTCTGAGCAGCGGCTGTCGCTACGGGGACAGTGACCGCGTGTTAATTAATTGCCGTAATTAATTATAATTATTAATAATAATTTTTATTATTAATTAGAATTGATTAATTATTTAATTAATAAATTAATTAATGCGTAATTAACGTGGTAATTAACGCGGATCGTAACATGTTAGTTAACACGGATGGTGAAATGAATTGACGGTTGATTAAAACATGGACAAGGTTAACCTAGGTTTCTGGCACCTAGGTTCCCATCTCACACATTACAATCAACCTGCAATCAACTGATGAATAACTTTACTATAAACAACAGACATGTCATTAAGATATATAAATAATAATATAGATTACTATTATAATCTATTTCGAATACCCAGGGTGGCTAGAAACAACCCTGTCTTCGCAAGATTGGTCTGCGAGTTTTTGGCACGTAGCGTTGTATCGGTCGTTGTGCGCACGGGAGTCGATGCATTTGCGTCAATGGCTGCAGTCTCACTCTCTATCGGAGACTCTCGCGTCCGTGATGCAGGCGCGCAGTTGTCATCAGGCAACCAATCAACACGCCGGCGTTGCCGAGAGGCTTTCCGCGACATCAAGATCTTAAACAAGAGGACATTTGTCATGCATGGCGATAATATTAACTAATATTCTAAACTAAACTCTTCTTAACTAAACTGCTAACTTACTCGCTATAAGTTAACTAATACTCTCATAATATGCAACAAATTTCTACACTTAACGAGTACGAAATATAGTAGTAATAAAAAATAAAGTAACATGCAACAGATTATTTCTTAAACAATGGCATGCAAATTAAAAAAATCATACCACAGCAATATCAAACTAGCAAATGTATTTAGTTTAAAATTTGTTAAATTTGTTAATTAGTTTAATTTAAAAATTACGTTGAGATAATTTGTATAAGTAGAGTTAGAACATGGATAACATATGTACATAATTTCTGTCACTACAGCCAACATTGCAAGTCGCCTTTAGCGACATACAATATCTCCCCAGGATTTCTGCCTCTCTCTCTCTCTCTGCTGGCCCCTTTAAGCACCACTCTTCTTCTAGTCTCCTCTCTCTCTCTCCCCCTTCAGCACCCACCTTCTAGTCTCCCCCTCTCCTCTCCCCTTCAGCACCATCTTTTTCTAGTCTCCCCTCTCTCTCCCTTTAAGCACCCACCTTCTTCTAGTCTCCCCCTCTCCCCCTTCAACACCCACCTTCTTCTAGTCTCCTCCTCTCTCCCCTTCAACACCCACCTTCTCCTGGTTCCCCTCTCTCTCCCCTTCTGCACCCACCTTCTTCTAGTCCCCCTCTCTTCTTCTGCATCACCACCTTCTTCTCGTCTCCCTCCTCTCCTCCTGGGCGGCATCTGTAGCGCAGTTTGCCTCCAGCATTGAGATGATCTCGCGTAACGATCGGTACCTCCGCACAGTCGGGCTTGTCCTTGCAGAAGTTGTGCACCATCGTGCCGACGTCAGCGAAACCGCGACGTGGGGGCGCGTCACTCGAGCAAGCGCTGCGCTGGTCAAACGCTCGGTTAGAACAGGGTTAGCGGGGTGGGCCGGTGACATGGGCTGTGGGGGTTGCGAGCAAGAGCGACGAGCATACCTCAAGCATATGTCACGTTGATGCTACGTCAGTCGAGAACTCGACAGGGCTTTTCACCGCGACAAGGCCATACTTGTGGAACATTCGTTATGTCAAGTTAACAACAATGAATTTCTGGGGCAATAAACTTTCAATAATCTATGTGTCTCCCATCTATGTGGCAAAGATCGCTGTGAAAAGATAGAAAATGGCGTGAAAACGACATAAAATCACGTCCAACGCAACCAAGTTCACAATCCAATTTCGCATGTCCTTTCCGCACTCGCCCGCTGGCACGATTACTCGCACACGCTGCATTTACCGCGCTTCCTCCACCGCGCGGCTAACTGCCATGGGTACGAAGCAGTGCTCCCTACTCACAGTGGGCATGTTCGTGGCGCCACCTACCTTCCCTTCGGTGAGCATCTGTTCGGTCGTCGTCTGGGTGTTGAGGGCCATGCCGACTAGCCACGCGTCATTCTCGCTGTGCTCAGGTCTCCGGCCTCCATGATGTCCACCATGACACGGTGGCACACTTGTCGCGCACAGTGGCAGCGCGTCCAGGAAGAACTTTCTGCGCACAAAAACACGTGGGGCGGGATACAGATGCCGTGGCCACAGATTCCTCTATTATTATTACAAATATTATTATAACTAGTACTACTATTATCATAGTTGTTGTCATTATTATTATTATTATATCTAGTACTGACTATTATCATAATCATTACACAGCATCGACGTCTCAGTATTAGCGTCCTACGGCAAAATACACGAACGCTGCTGGCGCTCACTCTGCCCCTCGTAGTTGTTTCCGCGCAGCCGCTCTCGCGCTCTGAATCTGCACGTAGAGGGAGCTGAGGGCGCCCCTGCTGAGCTGACGGATCGTGTAGACGAGTTGTGAGAACTTCTGCGGCGCCTCGGGTCTCATGTCCTCCTCGCGTCAGCGAGCAGCAGGTCCGCTGAGCGCGCGCGTCGCCCGCGCGGTTGCGTTCGTCGTCGTCGTTGCCGTCGCGATGTCCTCATGCACAAACCGTAAGTGGCTGCTTGTTCGGAGCCGCCGACAGCTGCGGACGTTTTAATGCCCGGACAATTGTAATTGATCAATTTGTAAAATATTTTAAACTATGACTTTTTAATTGTGGAGATTTTTTTATATTTAATGTATTAAGTACGTGGCGGAATCGGAAAACAAACCACTGACTTCGATTTTAGTTTTCACAAATAAAGGCATCTAAGGTAGGCTATGCAACTTCGTACCATGCATAACTGTAACTCCTACTAACTCTCGCTAGATCTCACTCACTCTCACTAGCTTTCAGTAACTCTCACTAGCTACTCACTAGCTCTCACTAACTCTCGCTAACTCTCAGTAACTCTCAGTAACTCTCACTAAGCTCTCACTACATCTCTGCTAACTACTCAGTAACTCTCACTAGCTCTCACTAACTCTCGCTAACTCTCGGTAACTCTCACTAGCTCTCACTAACTCTCACTAACTCTCAGTAACTCTCACTAGCTCTCACTAACTCTTGCTAACTCTCAGTAACTCTCACTAGCTTCTCGCTAACTCTCAGTTAAACTCTCACTAGCTCTCAGTAGATACTACTCCGTGACAACTTCGGCACACCACCTCTCAGTAATTCTCGCTAACTCTCAGTAATTCTCACTAACTCACTAGCTCTGGCACGCCCAGACCTCTAGCTCTCAGTAAGTCTTGCTAACTCTCACTAACTCACTCACTAACTCACTAACTCCGGCACCCACCTCTAGCTATCAGTAACTGTAACTTCACCCGGCACGTCATTAGCTTGTATCTCTACTTGCACTAACTCTGCCAGCACTCATCTAGACTCAGCTAACTCTCAGCTACCTACATCGGACCTCACTCTAGCCCTCCGATCTCAGTAACTTCTGCATAACTCACTAACTCGCGGCACTCACCTCTAGCGTCTGCAGTAATTCTCAGTAACTTCATAACTCAGCTAAGCTCTGGCACCGTCAGCTTCGAGAGAGAGAGAGAGAGAGAGAGAGAGAGAGAGAGAGAGAGAGAGCGAGAGAGAGTTTTAACAAAGAGCCGTGCATCTAAGGTCTGACATGTGGGTTTTTGTCCAGTTAGGGGATTCCAGGCTTCGTTAATTGAGGAAGGTGAGATTCGGATGTGTGTGAGAGAAATCAGTTGAGAACAGCATTGACCAAAATTGTATTGGATTTGTCAGCCTCATGAATAATTCAAAATACGGCAGTCTCTGCATAATCCCATGAAACCGCACCCTTGGCTTAGGACATTTTGAGTAATAGTAAAGCGATTCAGATAAGCTAGTTAGCAAACTGCGTATAAAATATGAAATTTTTTAGCAGCATTCAAAGGGTGAGTTTGATACCCGAAATAGTGTATATCTTTATCACGTGTTATGTTCCTCGTGTACACACTACTCCCCCACTGCTATCGACCAAACTAGACCTCAGCCTGTTTAGCTTCTTAGTCGTAACCTGTGGTTCACCTCCAAGACCTTAAGATAAGACCTTAAGATTAAGACCAAGAACTTAAAATAAGTAATTTAATACCCTGAAAATTCCCACTGAAAATTGCATACACAACAAAACGCTGTTGCTGTTGTTGTTGTTGTTGTTGTTGTTGTTGTTGTTGTTGTTGTTGTTATTGTTTTGTTTTTGGATGTACATTCTCAAAGAAGAACGTTATTTACTTTGCTCTTGAGTCTTCCATCGTTTTGTTAGCCGTTTCGTTAAGTGAAACTACTGGGCAGATATCTTACGTGTTGGGCTTGTGTTTTGCCAACCTTCCTAATAAAACTATGAGGTTAGGAGAACGTTACATTCACAAATACAAGGCAGAGATTGTTAAATATGTTGGTCTTGCGTTTCGCCAGCCTTCCTAATAAAACTATGAGGTTAGGCGGAACGTTACATTCACAAATACAAGGCAGAGCAGCGTTAAAGATGGATTGGTCTCGTTTCACAGCCGATTCCTAAGCTACAACTATGAAGGTGGGCCAGCAGTTAGTTACAATTTACGAGGCGGAAGACAGCAGACGGCCATCCCATGCGCATCGCAACGACGCGAACCGATCTGTCTGGCTTCACGGCCCCCGTCGTCACTATCAAAGTCCTACAGCCGTGTGGACATGGTGCTGTCGGTACGTATAGGGAGTGGCGGCGGCCGCGATGCTGGTCTACACGGATGTGCGCTCGTATAGCTGAGAGAAGGCATAAGTGTGTGCACGTGTGTGTGCGGCGTGCCGCTGCGTGCCGTGCGTGCCGTAGCGCTGTGCGTGTGTGTGTGCCGTCCAGCTGATTGCAACTGCAGGAATTGCCATGTCGTGGCATGGCGTATCACGTCAGCAGTAAAGGTGACATAGGTATGTAATCAGAGTGAACGCCAGCCTAGAGCGAATGTAGTATGTGTAGTATTTTTACTCACGTATAAGCTTTGTCTAAAGGAGCAGGCACTCGATTGCGCAGTTAGAGCAACATTGCTTGTCTGTAGTATCAGACCACGCATAATGCTTATAGGATATGGTTAATATAATAGAATATTCCCAGCATTCGCCGCACAGTTCTTAACAAAAGATGCGCCCCGCCACGCTCTCTAAACGATTCCCCCGCGTTGGAGAATGTCGAGTTCTACAGCAAGTGTCAACGAGCGCGACGCGGGGAGCGAGCCGATGCGCTCGAGGCCAGTCAAGGTCGCGGCGGAGGCGTGGCCACATGTCACTTTGCCGTTCGCGAACGGCCACGTCGAGCACGTCTGCCCCGGAGACTGAGACCCTCGCATGATCGTCAAAAACATCAAGAGCGGCAATCCTGTCGGCCCATCCAGAACACGATGCCGAATCTCGACAACGACACTCGACTCTAGAGACGTGCAGCCAGGGCGGTGCCTAGTGGAGGGAGTGGGCGCTAGGGAGGGGCAGAGCGCTTGCCTAGTGCTTGAGCTGAGGGGCACGGCGCCGCTTAGTGACTGTGAGCGGAGGAGCTCGCTAGTGGTGACATGAGGGGGCAGGGGCGCAGCTAGTGGTGCACGCAGGGCGGCGCTATCGCAGTGCAGCGACCGGCGGCCCAGCGGAGCCGCCCTAGTGGATGGGCAGGGGCGCTAGTGCCTGAGCGAGGGGGCAGGCACAGCATGTACAGTGAAAAAATGGCATGATTTCATTTTCTCTAGCTCCATGTGTAATGTTGTTTGTTAACGTTAAACAAGTTTACGTTCAACGAATCAATGATCATTCCATGTTTATAATATCCCTACGTATGTGAATACACGAATAAAAAACTAATTAGCTGTATTCCAGAAAAATTATAAAATATGCAATTATAGCTTTAGGACAACCAGTGACCATCTTGCTATTAGTGTGATTGCCTTTTCAACGACGTTTCATCGAATCGCTGCGGAGCTTATTTAGCATTCGTCAACGCCCCGTGTCTCCCTCTCTCTATAGACTGACGTCAACGTATGCTGTCCGACCGAGTACACCCTGAAGTCTCGGGCGTGCGCGAACTGGGACAGGTCTGTGAATCACGAACACTACCTCCGCTGGAGCGTGAAGGACCTGCAGTAACTTGTAAGAGCCTCACAGCACGAGGACCAAAAGCGCTGCAAAGACAATTCCCTATCCACACGGATGAAGGTACGCGCCACGTCTTCTTCAGATCCGCCAACTCGCTGAGCGTTAAATCGCAACGGCGGTGTCTCGGCAAGGTTGCCTTGTGTTGCTGCTTGAGTCTGACTGTGTGCTCGTTTCTGCACTGTGTTGCTGATGAATTCTGACTATGTCGTGATTGTGGTGGTCAGGTAGCAGGAGTACGTGAGAGTCTCATATCTGTTCACATGCTCAATGAGAGAAAATATCCTTAGTATTCAGAATATTTTATCTTAGAATTCTCTATAAGCAAATGTTTGTTTCTAGTCCTCCAATGCAAAATATACATGCTGCTACTATTGTGTTTGTATCACTGCAATTATGTATGCGGTAGCCAAATGCTGGCCACAGATGAAAGATGAATGTGCAAGGCCACGAAAGTAAAATGTGTTCATGGTGATTATTTAACTACGATGTGACCATACTAACTAGATATATAGACTAGATAGAAATATTAACTATAATACTGATAACTTAATTAATTAACTTAAACTAGATTAACTTATGCCGCAGAGCCCAGAGCCATGCCCCTGGTGAGCAGCACACACGAGTGTGAACAGAACATCTTCGCGAGGAAGCTACATTCAACTCTATCGTCTGCCGTGAGAGGCACACGTTCCGACCGTTCTCGCGGGGTGACAGTGGCGCCACTACAGGCGACGAGCCAGCAGCTGCTGTGTTCGGTGAGGAGAGACGAAAGCATCTCGCAGACTGCTAGAGGTGAGGTGCCGGAGTTAGGAGTTATGAGAGTTACTGAGAAATTACTGAGAGCTAGAGGTGAGGTGCCGGCAGTTAGTGAGGTTAGTGAGAGTTACTGAGATTACTGAGAGCTAGAGGTGAGGTGCGCGCAGTTAGTGAGTTAGTGAGAGTTACTGAGAATTACTGAGAGCTAGAAGTGAGGTGCCAGAGTTAGTGAGTTAGTGAGAATTACTGAGAGCTAGAGGTGAGGTGCCGGAGTTAGTGAGTTACTGAGAATTACTGAGAGCTAGAGGTGAGGTGGCCGGAGTTAGTGAGTTAGTGAGTGAGTTAGTGAGAGTTAGGCAAGACTTACTGAGAGCTAGAGGTGGGGTGCCGGAGTTAGTGAGTTAGTGAGTGAGTTAGTGAGAGTTAGCAAGACTTACTGAGAGCTAGAGGTGGGGTGCCAGAGCTAGTGAGTTAGTGAGTTAGTGAGAATTACTGAGAATTACTGAGAGGTGGTGTGCCGGAGTTGTCACGGAGTAGTAGCTACTGAGAGCTAGTAAGAGTTACTGAGAGTTAGCGAGAGCTAGTAAGAGTTACTGAGAGTTAGCAAGAGTTAGTGAGAGCTAGTGAGAGTTACTGAGAGTTAGTGAGAGCTAGTGAGAGTTACCGAGAGTTAGCGAGAGTTAGTGAGAGCTAGTGAGAGTTACTGAGAGTTAGCGAGAGTTAGTGAGAGCTAGTGAGAGCTAGTGAGAGTTACTGAAAGCTAGTGAGAGTGAGTGAGATCTAGCGAGAGTTAGTAGGAGTTACAGTTATGCATGGTACGAAGTTCATAGCCTACCCTTAGATGCTTTATTTGTGAAACTAAAATCGAAGTCAGTGGTTTGTTTTCGATTCCGCCACGTACTTAATACATTAAATATAAAAAAAATCTCCACAATTAAAAAGTCATAGTTTAAAATATTTTACAAATTGATCAATTACAATTGTCCGGGGCATTAAAACTCGCGCAGGTCGGCGGCCGAACAAGCAGCCACTTACGTTTGTGCATGAGGACATCGCCGACGGCAACGACGACGACGAACGCAACGCGGCGCGGGCGACGCGCGCGCTCGCGGACCTGTGCTCGCTGACGCAGGAGGACATGAGACCCGAGGCGCCGCAGAAGTTCTCGCAACTCGTCTACACGATGCGTCAGCTCAGCAGGGGCGCCCTCAGCTCCCTCTACGTGCAGATTCAGAGCGAGAGCGTCTGCGCGGAAAACAAGTACAGGGGCAGGTGAGCGCAGCAGCGTTCGTGTATTTTGCCGTAGGACGCTAATACTGAGACGTCGATGTGTGTAATGATTATGATAATAGTAGTACTAGATATAATAATAATAATAATGACAACAACTATGATAATAGTAGTACTAGTTATAATAATATTGGTAATAATAATAAGAGGAATCTGTGGCCACGGCATCTGTATCCCGCCCCACGTGTTTTTTGTGCGCAGAAAGTTCTTCCTGGACGCGCTGCCACTGTGCGCGACAAGTGGTGCCATCGGTGTCATGGTGGACATCATGGAGGCCGGAGACCTGAGCACAGCGGAGAATGACGCGTGGCTAGTCGGCATGGCCCTCAACACCCAGACGACGACCGAACAGATGCTCACCGAAGGGAAGGTAGGTGGCGCCACGACATGCCCACTGTGAGGTAGGGAGCACTGCTTCGTACCCATGGCGGTTAGCCGCCGTGGAAGCGGGTAAATGCAGGTGTGCGAGTAATCGTGCAGCGGGCGAGTGCGGAAAGGACATGCGAAATTGGATTGTGAACTTGTTGCGTTGGGACGTGATTTTATGTCGTTTTCAACCCATTTTCTACCTTTTCACAGCGATCTTTGCCATCGTTAGGGAGACACATAGATTATTGAAAGTTTATTGCCTCAGAAATTCAATTGTTGTTCACTTGACATAACGAATGTTCCACAAGTATGGCCTTGTCGCGGTGAAAAGCCCTGTCGAGTTTTCCGTTTCTCGACTGACGTAGCATCAACGTGACATATGCTGAGGTATGCTCGTCGCTCTTTGCTCACAACCCCCACAGCCCATGTCACCGGCCCACCCCCTAACCCTGTTCTAACCGAGCGTTTGACCACGCAGCGCTTGCTCGAGTGGACGCCGCCCCCACGTCGCGGTTTCCTGACCGTCGGCACGATGGTGCACAACTTCTGCAAGGACAAGCCCGACTGTGCGGAGGTACCGATCGTACGCGAGATCATCTCAATGCTGGAGGCAAACCTGCGCTACAGATGCCGCCCAGGAGGAGAGGAGGGAGACGAGAAGAAGGTGGGTGCAGAAGGAAGAGAGGGGGGACTAGAAGAAGGTGGGTGCAGAAGGGGGAGAGAGAGGGGGAACCAGGAGAAGGTGGGTGTTGAAGGGGGAGAGAGGGAGGAGACTAGAAGAAGGTGGGTGTTGAAGGGGGGAGAGGGGGGAGACTAGAAGAAGGTGGGTGCTTAAAGGGGAGAGAGAGGGGAGACTAGAAAAAGATGGGTGCTGAAGGGGGAGAGAGAGGGGGGAGACTAGAAGGTGGGTGCTGAAGGGGGAGAGAGAGAGAGGAGACTAGAAGAAGGTGGGTGCTTAAAGGGGCGAGAGAGAGAGAGAGGAGAAATCCTGGGGAGATATTGGTATGTCGCTAAAGGCGACTTGCAATGTTGGCTGTAGTGACAGAAATTATGTACGATATGTTATCCATGTTCTAACTCTACTTATACAAATTATCTCAACGTAATTTTTTAAATTAAACTAATTAACAAATTTAACAAATTTTAAACTAAATACATTTGCTAGTTTGATATTGCTGTGGTATGATTTTTTAATTTGCATGCCATTGTTTAGAAATAATCTGTTGCATGTTACTTTATTTTTTATACTACTATATTTCGTACTCGTTAAGTTAGAAATTTTGTTGCATATTATGAGAGTATTAGTTAACTTATAGCGAGTAAGTTAGCAGTTTAGTTAAGAAGAGTTTAGTTTAGAATATTAGTTAATTTATCGCCATGCATGACCAAATGTCCTCTTGTTTTAGATCTTGATGTCGCTGAAAGCTCTCGGCAACGCCGGCGTGTTGATTGGTTCCTATGACAACCTGCGCGCCTGCATCACGGACGGAGAGTCTCCGATAGAGATGAGACTGGCAGCCATTGACGCAATGCATCGACTCCCGTGCGACAACGACCGATACAACGTACGTGCCAAAAACTCGCAGACCAATCCTTGCGAAGACCAGGGGTTGTTTCTAGCCACCCTGGGTGATTCGAAATAGATTATAATAGTAATCTATATTATTATTTATATATCTTATATGACATGTCTGTTGTTTATAGTAAAGTTATTCATCAGTTGATTGCAGGTTGATTGTAATGTGTGAGATGGGAACCTAGGTGCCAGAAACCTAGGTTAACCTTGTCCATGTTTTAATCAACCATCTTAATTCATTTCACCATCCGTGTTAACTAACATGTTACGATCCGCGTTAATTACCACGTTAATTACGCATTCATTAATTTATTAATTAAATAATTAACTAAAAGGTATTATTAATAATTATAATTAATTACGGCATTAATTAACACGCGTCACTGTCCCCGTAGCGACAGCCGCTGCTCAGAGTCTACGAGCAGATCAGTGCCCCGGATGAGGTGAGGATTGCGGCGTACCTCGGTGCGATGCACTGCGCCACCAACGACGTCATCGACAATGTCGTCGAGATGCTGCTCAACGAACCGATGAACCAAGGTGAGGGTCCGCTGCACGCGCGAGAGCGCAACAACAACAACAACAACAACAACTTGATCAACTGCAAGTTAATAAAGTTAATCTCGTAACAACAACAACAACAACAAATTAATCAACTGCAACAACATCAATAACAACAACAACAAGTTAATCAACTGCGACAACAACAACAAGTTAATCAACTGCAACAACAATAATAACAACTACAACAATAACAACAAGTTGTGTGCCTTACAGGAAGGACAGAACATTCCATTGACCCCTGTCGTGATCAATGGGACGATGTGATTGGATAATTTCTATTAGCACCTGCGCTACGATTGTAGCGCCCCCTGGCATGCACGCGCTAACTGCAATGTTGTTTTCTCATCCCGGCAGTCGGCTCGTTTGTGTGGACGCACCTGACGAACATTGCGGAGTCGAGCTCTCCGCTGAAGCAGGAGGTTCGCAAGCATCTGCTACACAGCGACCTGAAGCAACGATTCAGCTCCGACGCCCGCAAGTTCTCACGCGCTTACGAAGGTATGTACGTGAAAGCTCTCATGGTAGGATGGACGATCGTACGTGAAAACTCTCATTGTAGGGTGGACGATCGTACGGGAAAACTCTCAT